ACACCTCCACGCCAGGCCCAGGATACTGTCATAGACTTGGGGGAACAGGTGACAAGCTACACACCTCCACGCCAGGCCCAGGATACAGTCAGAGACTCAGGGAACAGGTGACAAGCTACACACTTCCACGCAAGGCCCAGGATACTGCCATAGACTCAGGGGAACAGGTGAGAAGTTACAAACCTCCACGCCAGGCCCAGGATACTGTCATAGACTCAGGGGAACAGGTGACAAGTTACAAACCTCCATGCCAGGCCCAGGATACTGTCATAGACTCGGGGGAACAGGTGACAAGAAGAGATACCTCCATGCCAGGCCCAGGATATAGTCATAGATTAAGGGGAACAGGTGACAAGCAAACATCTCCATGCGAGGCTCAGGATACAGTCATAGACTTAGGGGAACAGGTGACAAGCAGAGACACCTCCACGCCAAGTCCAGGATAGTCACAGACTCAGGGGCCGAGGTGACAAGCTACACACCTCCACGCCAGGCTCAGGATACAGCCATAGACTCAACGAACAGGTGACAAGCTATACACCTCCAGGCCAGGCCCTGGATACAGTCAGACTCAGGGTCATAGACTCAGGGGAGCAATGTTGCCTTTGTCTAATAATTGCTAGTGTAACAGACTGACCAGGCAGAGACTTCATGTCTCCAACTCCAGAGTGGCCGAAATTTTCAGCCAATGACCTCTGGTCTGGCCTGTGGGCCTTATGAAGAGCAGAGAATGGTGAGCAGTGTGCTGGGGGGGTAACAGAGCCCCTCTCCATATGATCAGGTCAGTCCTCTCTCGCAGAATTTATTAAGACCTGGATATTATTCCTTAAGGACCTGAACTAAGCAGACAGACAGGTACTGCAAGTAGAAGCAGACACACAGCAAGGTGTGGGCACCCTGATGGTCACAGCGAGGCCAGACTGAACTGTGTCTCCTGAAAACCCCGGAGGGTGACAATGCGATTCCCCATGTTCTGACAAACCAAGCTGTCCTCGAGAACTACAGAGCCCCCAGATCTGATGTAAGAAGACTAGGGGGCTCCGGGATCCAACAGATGGAGACAAGGGGTTCCCGGACCAGAGAAAAGGGGACTAGGGAACCCTGGGATCTGAGGGAAGGGAACTAGGGGTCCCGGGATCTGAGGGAAGGGTACCAGGGGGTCCTGGGATCAGATGGCTGGGGATTAATAGGTCCCAAGATCTGAAAGGGAACTAGGAGTCCCAGGATCTAAGGGAAGAGGACTACGGGACCCACAATCTGAGGGAAGGAGACAAGGGGTCCCTAGGATCTGATGGAAGGAGAGAAGGGGATCCCGGGATCTGAGGGAAGAGGTGTCTCTCTGTAGTGTGGCTGTCAGCACTGTCTCATGGGGAGATGTGAGCAGCTGGGGTACAACTCTGAAAGGGGGAGCAGAAGAGATAGGGGCTATGGACTTAGGTCTCTGCGCTGGGGAACTCCTCAAGATCAGATGTCAAACACACGTGGAGCTCTCCAAGAACTGCTGGATCTGCAGAGGCTGAAGGTCTTTCCTCCAGAAGGACAGAGAGGACGCCTTCCCTAGAGCTGGTACCTGAATTTGGACTTCTAGCCTCTAACCTGCTCCCTTGGTATCAGCAGTCAGGAGAACAGGAGACAAACTGCAGTGGTAAAGTTTACAGTCGGGGACCTCTCCAAATCACGGAGGAGCAATGATGCAAGTTTGAAGGCCAAGGTGCGCCTGATTCAGCCTCTGGTGTTTTCATTTACTGACTATGCATCTGAGAGTTGGACAGTGAATTAAGCTGACAGAATTGATGCCATTGAGCGATGGGGGTGTTGGAGAACAGCACTGAAGAGCCCAGGGACCCACCACCCAGACAGACAGACAGGTCTTGGAGAAGGTGCAGCCAGAGTGCTCTTTGGAGGCAAGGATTGTGAAACATCATCTCACGTGGGCATGCTGCTAGGAGGGGCTATTCCTTGGAGAGGGACATGAAGCTTGGGAAGGTGGGAGTTCTGTCTCTCAACTATCACAACGCCCTAGTCACGGCCGGAAACCCAGCAGTACCGGTGAGGGGCAGGTCAGTCACTATGACTCAGGAAGAGGGGGTGAGGTACCCATCCTGCTGGATCCCGGGGAGCAGCTTGTTCTCCAGGTCCCCGTAGCAGAAGCTGCACAGTAGAGTGGACAGGATGGAGCCCTGGGGGATACCCTGGCACTGGACATAGTACCTAGAGAGAGAAGACACACCGATTCAGGAAGGGGTGACTATGGCAGGCTTCGTATTTACAGAACACACATGTATGTGTACACACACACACACACACACAGGTATGTGCAAAATATACACATACAGAGGTATGTACATAACATACATGTACGTGTGTACAACAGGCACCTACACATGTGTACACATACAAGTATGTATATAATACACACATGTACACACAGAGACACGCAGGAATGTGTAAAATATACACATGTACACACGTGTGCCCAGGTATGTACAAGATCCACACACGTACACTTACAGGCATGTACACACACACACAGACACACAGGCATGTGTGTGATACATACATGTACACACATGTGCCCAGGTATGTATGTGATCCACATGTGTACACCTGCGAGTGTGTATAGAACACATACATGCACATGCATGCAGACACACAAGCATATGTGTGGTATACACATGTACACACATGTGCCCAGGTATGTATGTGATCCACACAGGTATACATACAAGTGTGTGCATAATACACACATGTACACATGCAGACACCGGTATGTACATGATACACACATGTACACACGCGTGCCCAGGTATGTATGTGACCCGCACAGGTACACATACAAGTGTGTACATAATACACAAATGTACACACACGCAGACACACCGGTATGTACGTGATACACACGTACACACATGTGCCCATGTATGTGTATGATCCACACAGGTACACATACAAGTGTGTACATAATACACACGTGTACACATACAGACACACGGGTATGTACATGATACACACATGTACACACGTGTGCCCGAGTATGTATGTGACCCGCACAGGTACACATACAAGTGTGTACATAATACACAAATGTACACACATGCAGACACACCGGTATGTACGTGATCCACACAGGTACACATACAAGTGTGTACATAATGCACGCATGTACACTTATGCAGACACACAAGTATGTACGTGATACACACATGTACACACCAAAGTGTGTACGCAATACACATATGTACACACAGGTGTATATATGTGATACACACATGTACACACAGACGTGTACATAATATACACATACATGTGCATACTCAGGCATGTAAACAACACACATGTACGTGAGTGCAGGCACAGAGGCATGTCCACACTATACAAATGTGCACACAAGTATGTACATATTACACACATGTACATGTGTGCAGACACACAGGATACACATGTACATGTATGCAGATATGTACACGGTACACACATGTACATACATAATACACACATGCCCGTGCACAGAGACATGTGTGCTATACACATGTACACACAAAGGTATGTACACAATACACACAGGCATGTACACAATACACACAGGTATGTACCTAATATACACATGTACATGAGCGCACACAGGTATGTACACAATACACACACACAGAGGTATGTACACAACTATGAAGGCAAACAGGCACAGAGAGGATCACTAGTCTTTTCTGACTCAGCGACTCAGCAGGGCAGAGCAGAACCTCCTCACAGGGTTTCTGAGGCTCTGATCTTTATGGGAGTACATGGTCTCATTCTTCTCCCTCAGAGTGGTGGGTGGGTTTGAACCACTGACCTACTGGTTAGTGGTTAAGCCCTTCGACACACCTATACCACAAGGATTCCTCCTCAACACTGTTGTTAGCTGGCATCAGAACAGCACAGCGGCTTTTAAATTTTGACTAAATAATCGACCATCTGCTTACACTGAAGGAATGGATATATAGAATAGATACCTAGACCAGGAAAAAAGTGTGTCAGGGATGCATCAATCTATATGTGAAAAAAAGCATCCAGGAGGCTGGACTCTGAGGATTAGAGGAAGATTCATCAACCACCTGCGTTATACAAATGACACACCCTTGATCGAAGAAAGTGATGAGGACCTGAAGTGTCTGCTACAGAAGGTCAAGGACTGCAGTCTTCAGTATGGATTGAACCTCAACATCAAGAAGACAAAGATTCTCACCACTAGACCAATTGGCAGCATCATGATAGATGGACAAAGCCTGAGGTTGTTAACAATTTCAGCTTACCCAGCTCCACAATCAATGCTTTTGGCACCAGCAACAGGAAATTAAAACAAAAATTGTCCCCAGCAACAATATAGCAAAGTTCAACAGAGCAGCAGACAACAAATGCTGACAAGGCTGTGGAGAGACTGGAACTCTTATTCACTACTGGTGGGAATCTAAAATGGTACAACCACTAAGGAAGGCGGTCTGGTGCTTTCTCAGAAAGTTGGAAATACAAATACTGTTTGATCCAGCAACTCCCCTACTGGGAATATACTCCAAAGAAACCAGAGCCACAACTCAAACACACCCATGTTTATAGCTGCATTATTCAAAATAGCAAAGAGATGGAATCAACCCAAGTGTCCATCAATAAACAAATGGATATAAAATCTATAGTGCATCCACACAATGGAAAACTACACAGCACTGAAAAACAATGAAACAGTAAAATATTACACAACATGGGGAAGCTTGAGGACCTTATGCTAAGTGAAGTATCTCAGTCACAGAAGGATAGATACTGTATAACACAGCTGTTAGAAAATAGGACAAACTGGAGGTGGTCTGAGAAGGAAATGGAGACAGAGTGGATGGATAATGAATATTGCATTAAAACAGAAGAGGGGAAGAACTGTCTGAAAGGAATATATGATTACACATTTTATGTGTGAGAATAATCTGGGAGAAGGGGGGCACTGAAGGGTGGGCTGGGACAAAAGGATGGAAGCAGAGGGAGAAAATGTGCAACAATGAATAAATAAAAGGGGGGGGAAGACAAATATGTTTGGGGAAATCTGCTGTCAGAGATCACTCAAAAGTGCTGAAGAGCAATGATGTCAGTCTGTACACTAAGGCATGCCTGATTCAGGCCATGGTCCTTGCAATTACTTGCTATGCATTAGAGCTGGATAATGACTAAGGATGACAGAAGAAAAACTGATGCCTTTGACTTGTGGTGCTGGAGAAGAGTATTGAACATTCCATGAACTGCCAAGAGAACTAGCAGGTTTATCATAGAGATGGAGAAACCAGGCTGCTTCTCGGAGGCAAGGATTTTGAGGCTCCATTTCACATATTTTGGGAGTGTGGTCAGGACAGGCCAGTCCTTGGAGAGGGACATCATTCTCAGAAGGATGGAAGGACAGCGCAGAAGAGGAAGACCATGGGTGAGATGGATTGATACAGAAACTAGGGTAATGAGGGTAGGTATGTCTGAGACCATGAAACTGGCTCAGCATAGAGCAGAGTTCAGAGCTATTGTAGATAGGGTCATTATGAGTCACAGGTGACTCAAGGGCACATAACAACTCAGGAAGTGACAGCTTGTCTTACATGTAACAGCTACTGTGAAACACCCAGACTTTCCCTTGATCTTACAGTGATAAATGAAAAACACCAAAATTATCCAATCAAAGACATATGAAGGATTTGGAGATGCAGCAAGTACCTCTGAAAGCCAGTGAGAGCAAAAAGGAGCCTGAAATAGGAGACAGAAGACACAACTTCAACAACTATTGTTAGGTATCATTGGGTCCAGTCCAACTCACAGACCGTGCAAACAGAAGCAGCCAGCCCCACCCCGGGCCTGCAGCTCCCTCACAACCTCTGCTGAGCTTGAGTCCACTGCCACAGGCACCGACTCGGTCCATCTCATGGAGAGCTGTGCTCACTCTCCACTCTTCCAAGGATGTTGTCCTTGTCCAGGAACTGATCTCTCCTGTTAACAAGCTCCAAGTATGTAAGACAGTCGCATCACCTTTGCTTCTATGCAGCACTCTGGATGCACTTTCTCCAAGACACAGCTGTTTGTTCTTTTGGTGGTCCATGCTATATTGAATACCTTTCTCTAGCATCACAATTCAAAGGCATCAATTCTTGTTCCTAGGTGCCACTGAGTCAAGTCCAACTCACAGGGACCCTGTGAACGAGATCTGAACCCCGTGTCATCCTCACAATCTCTCACATAACTCAAGCCCACTGCAGCAGTAACTGGATCAATCCACCTGGTCAAGGGTCTTTCTCTCCTTCACCAACCCTCCACCGTTCCCAGCATCATGTCCTTCTCCAATAGGCCCTCCTAGCAACATATCCAACGTATGTGAGGTGAAGCCTCATCATTCTCACCTCCAAAGAGCACTCTGGCTGCACCCTCTCCCAGACATATCTGCTTGTTCTCTTGGCCATCCATGGGATGTTCAGTGCTCTTCTCCAACACCACAGCTCAAAGGTGTCGATTCCTTTTCTGTCATCCTTATTCATTGTCCAGCTCTTGGATGCATAGCAAGTGATCGGCAAGACTGTAGCCTGAATCACACATACCTTCGTCCTCAAAACTGGTATCATCACTCCTCAATAATTTGAAGAAGTCTCTAGCTGCAGATTTTCCCACAACAATGCATCTCCTTATTTCCTGACTCTAGTTATTAGGTGCCGTCTAGTACCTACGGCTGTTAATTGTGGATCAAGCAAGATGAAGCTGTTGACATTCAATCTCCTCTCCATCCAGCATGATGCTACCTATCAGTCCAGTGGTAATAATCTTTATTTTCTTGACATTGAGATGCAATCCATACTGAAGGCTGCATTCCTTGATCTTCCACAGGTGCTTCAAGTCCTCCTCACTTTCAGCAAGCACGGTTATGTCATCTGCATAAACGCAGATGACTGATGAGTCTTCCTGCAATCCTGACGCCACACTCCTCTTCAGAGTCCACAGCTTCTTGTATAATTTGCTCAGCATACAGACTGAATAGGTATGGAGAGAGAATACAATGCTGGCACACTCCCTTCTCAATTTAAAACCATTCAGTGTTCCCCTGCTCTGTTCATACAACAGCCTCCTGGTCCAGGTATAGATTCTGCATGAGCACGATTAAATGCTCGGGGACTCCCATTCTTCTCAATGTCAGCCACAACTTATTATAAGCCACACAAACACCTTTGCATAGTCAATAAAGCACAGCCATTCTTTTGATATTCCTTACTCTAAGTCAGGATCCATCTGACATCAGCAATGATAACTGGTGCCATGGCCTCTTCCAAATCCTGCTTGAACTTCTGGAAGTTCCTTATCTATGTACTGTTCAGGCTGTTTTTAATAATCTTCAGCAATTATTTTGCTCTTATGTGATATTAATGATATTGTTTAATAGTTTCCACATTCAGTTGGATCATCTTTCTTGAGAACTGATTGCTTAAACAAGAGACTTCCAGCTCACAGCTGATTGTTAACAAAATCACATCAACCTATCAACCTTGTTAACAAAATGCCCAAACAGGTTACACACAACTTTCAAGTAAATCAAAACCACCTACCCTCCAAAATCCAACTTCTCCAAGCTGAAGTCACGCCATAAGTTAGGGGCACATTGGTCTTTAGACTGACATCATTGCTTCGTAGCATTCTGGAAAGGTCCTGGACAGCAGATTTTCCCACAACCCATCCTGATTTCTTGACTGCTGGTACCTAGAATGTTGATTGTGGATCCAAGAAAATTATTGACACTTTTTATCTTTTCTCAATAGCATGGTATTACCTACTGGTCCAGTGGTGAGGACTTCTGTTTGGTTGGTGTTGAGATCTAATCCATAGTGAAGGCTTTAGTCCTTGATAGTGCTTCAAGTCTTCTTCGCTTTCTGCAAGCAAAGCTGTGGTACCTCCATAAGACAGACTGTTGAATGAGATTTCTCCAACTTCAAGGCTGGAGATAAAGTGGATAAGGAATTGCACAGTCAAGCCAAAGGTAAGTAGTTCAAATCTACCGGCTGCTCTGAGACAGCCAGTAGGGCAATCTCTTTTCACATGATTTACAGCCTCAGAAAACCTGCTGGATGATCAGCTATGCATTGGTTCTGACTTGATAGCACACAATAATTTGTTTTCTGAAGATATTCTTCTGCCAACTGGTAGCTTGTCCTTTCATTTTGTTGGGAAACTCTTTTGATGAACTAAAGTTTTTCCTTTTTTTGCGGGTCACTTTGCCTTGTGCTGTCTACCTTTGTTATTTCAGATCATCCACTGTCCAAATGATGTCCCTGTCCAGGCTCTGACCTCTCCTTTTAACACGCTCCACGTATGTGAGACGAAGTGTCCCTAACACCTGACATTTTCTTCCAAGAACGTCAAGGCTTCCATTTACACCTCTGGGTATTTAATTCACATGGAATGTTTCTGTGTGAAGAGTGAGCGAGGATCTGGATGCACTTCTAAGTTTTTTGTTTGCTTGTTTGTTTGTTTGTTTGGTTTTACACAGATGCCACACTGTGCACCAGTAGGAAGCTGAGCTTCAGTCTCACCCATGACACAAGGCAGAAGAAGTCTGATGACGTGCAGAGATTTCCCCCTAAACAGCCAAGCAGGTTTCCACCTTGGGTGGATCAAAACTGGCTGTGTGCCACATGATCCTTGTGTAATGCACGATCCTTTTCAATCAACCACAGTGCCAAGCAGAGAGTCACTGTCAGGGCTCATCCGAGGCAGGAGACATGGAAAGAAAAGGAAGGGAGGATGGGGGGCTGGAGGGAGGGCGCCTTCAGGCAGGAGAAAGCTCTTTGTGCTGGAGCTCTGTGCACATAAGCGTAGGTGAGTGTCCTCAGTGAAAATCCACCACACACCGCTCTGTGCTCTCTCAACACGCACGTTTCACTGAATAAAGTTCTCAAGATATCCAAGTGCGGTACTGTATGATGGAAACCGTTCCTTTCCACCTGAACTTGAATGGCTCTGGTTTCGGCCTGACATTCCTCCAATTCCCTTTCTCATCTGAAACAAGGTCAAGGTCACATGGCTACCCGGGGTTCCGGAGCCTGCCTGGTCAGCACAGGACCCACGGAAGCAGCAGGCTGTGGGCAGAGTGCCCTGCTGACAGATGGGAGAGCTCCATGAGAGGTGATGGTGTGTGCCCTGATCCAAGGCTGCAGGCGGAGACCAGGCAAAAATGGGACGATAAAGCTCTGAAGGCTAAAAACTGGAAAGAGAACAAGACCATCAACAAGACAGACTGACCCCATGGGAGCAGTCCTGAGCCAGAGCACATCAGAGATGAGAGGAAGATGGAGCAGGGGGCAGGGTTCTACCTGTTGTTCACAGGGTTGCTATGTTTCATGATATTGTTGTTAGACGCCATCAAGTTGAGTACAACTCGTAACAACCCTATGAAGAACAGATCTGAACCTTGTCCTGTGCCATCATCATGATCTCTGACCATCCGAGCTGTATCTAGTGTCAATCCATCTCCTTGGGAATCTCTCTCTCTTTTCACTGACCTCTCTACCTTTCCAAACATGACATTCCTTTCCAAGGAATAGCTAACTTCTCTAACAACATTCCTAAGGTATGAGAGACAAAGCCTCACCATCTTTGTCTCCAAGGAGCAATCTGGCTGCACCTTTTCCAAGATATATCTGTTTATTCTTTGGCAGTCCATGGGATAGTCAGTGCTGTCCTCCAACACCACAATTCAAAGACATCAATTCTTCTTCTGTCTTCCTTATTCACTGTCCAGCTCTCAGATACATAGCAGGTGACTGAAAAGATGATGGTCTGAATCAGGTGCACCTTAGTCCTCAAACTGACATCACTGCTCCTCAGTACCTAAGGTCACCAGCCCTAAGGTCACCAGCACTTCAAGGAACAAAAATGGTTGGGGAGCTCTGGTGGCCTAGTGGTAAGGAGCTGCAACTACAATCCCAGAAGCAAATGGTTCGAATCCACCAGGTGCTCTGCTGGGGAAGGAGGGACAATCTCCTCCTGTACCAGTCAGATCTGATTTGACGGTAGACTCACACAAAAACAATAAAATAAAAAATAAAATAAAAAAGGAACAAAAATGGGACAAAAGCACTTTTTTCATAAGCCAAATTAAATTGATGCCTCTGAGCTGTGATGCTGGAAAAGAGTGTTGAATATATCATGGACTGCCAGGAGAACAAACAGGTTCATCCTAGAGAGGGTGAAGCCTGGCTGCTCCTTGGAGGCAAGGATTCTGGGGCTTCACGTAACATACCATGGGCATGTTGCAAGGAGGGACTGGTCCTTGGAGAACGACATCATGCTTAGAAGGGTGGAGAGGCGGAGAAAGAAAGGGAGACCATCAATGAGATGGACTGACAGTAACTGGGGTAATGAGAGTAGGTGTGTCAGAGACAGTGAAGTTAGCTCAGATAGCGCAGGTTTCAGGGCTGTTGTGAGTTGCAAGTGACTCGATGGCAGATAACAAAACGAACAAAATAAAAATGGTCTTGAGAACAGACACGTTCTTGAGAGGGGCTAATCCCTGGAGAAGGATGGCATGGGTCAGAGAAAAAGAGGAAGACCCCCAGTGAGATGGACTGACAAAATGACTGTAATAGTGGGCTTAGCGAACAGAGATGGTGTGGACGGTCACAACCGGGAAGGGTTCTGTGCTTTTGAACACAGAATCACTATGCGTTGGAACAGATTCAGAGGCCCTCACAACGACAGTCACAGGGCAGGAGGCTCTGGGCAGCACTGATGGTTAAGTGCCCCACCACTGGCTGGAAGGCTGGAGGTTTAACCCATGCAGAGGCTTTGCAGAGGACAATCCTGGGGACGTGCTTCTGAGAACTAAAGGGTGCAGCCCTGTTCCACACACTAGGGTCGATGTGACTCAGAACTGACTTGGCAGCAACCAACAATGCCAAAGCCAGAGGGCACTCAGAAACCAGGTGTTGAAACTCGGCCGAGATTCAGCCCACCAAGTCCCAGGTCTCGGCACAGGTGGGTCTGAAGGTCCCCACTCCCAGTGCTAGCAGACCCCTGGTCTGCAGCACGTCAGCACCCTGTGTTACTGTGTCCTGGTCTGGGTGTGTCCCCAAAGGCTGGGGGGGGGGGTTCACAGAGAGAAGGGGAGCAATGGAAAGTTGGGATCACCGAGAGAGAAGGGAGGCTGTAGTGGTGCCAACAGTTAACATGACTGCTGCTAAAATGAAGGTCGGCGGTTCAAACCCACGCAGTAGCTCCCTGGGAGAAAGGTCTGGTGCTTCCTCCTGTAGAAACCGTGGTCATGTGCTGTCGACTCAGAACCAACCCACAGCTGACCCTCCAGCAGGCTTTTTCAGAGGCAGTGAACACACAGGAGGAGACTGCCCGTTCTTCTCCTGAGGAGCAGCTGGTGGATTCGAACCCTGTGCCTTTGCAGCTGCAGTGTAGCTCCTTAGGAAACCTACACTTCTAAAGAGTAAAACCTAGGAAAGCGCCTGTAAGGATACAAGAAAAAAACAGCCAACCAATCCCTCAGCCATTGAGTCAGTTCTGTCTCACCACCTTCCAGAGGTTTCCAAAGCTCTACCTAAATTTTTTTCTCTCACAAGGTAGCTGCTGGATTTGAACTCCTGGCTAGCAATCCTACGCATTACAGGTGCACAACACCACCAATCTAACCCTAAAGATTACGGCTTAGGAAACTTTGTAACACATGGGGTTACTGTGAGGCCGAGTGGACTCAAAGGCACCTTACAAGAGCCACCAGGGAGAAAGGAGGTCCTGGTGCTGCTAACAGTCAACGCGTCTAGCGGCTGACTGGACATCCACCCAAAAACACCCTGGAAGAAAGGCCTGGCGATCTGCTTCGGAAACAATCAGCCGTGCACACGAGACGGAGTGCTTTCTTTCCACTCTGACACTCAGAGGTCACCACTCGGGGAGAGTCAGTTTTCAGGAAGCGGAGGGCACAGGAGGGAGGGAGCCGGGCAGGAGGACACTGCAGAGGCCAGCAGAGCCCACTCACCTGCCCTTGATCTTGAAGATGTTGTTGTGCACCAGGTGTAGGAAGACATCAAACAGCCTGCGGGTGGGCTCGTTGAAGGTGATGCTCTGGAGAAGCAGATCAGAGGCAGAGAGCAGGTGAGGGGGCAGGGGCATGGCTTGTGGGGTACAGCAACATGCACGTCCTTCCTGGGGACGACAGCTCTAGGGTGCATCCCAGAGACCTAGGCATAGCCCACATGTACCTCCTGCCTGGGGTTATGGTTCCCGACACAGCCAGGAGGCTGGGGTGCAGCCAGCCGGCAGCAATGCAGCTGTGACGTGACAAAGGTGTCCCTTCTGGGGGGGGGTGTCAGTGTTTTCACTGCACATGAGAGGCTCACTAGACAACAACAAACTGGGAAAGATTCTGGCTGCAGATGGACAGACACACACACACACACACACACACACGAGTCCCCTGTGGTGGACCAAGCTGTCCAGCTGGGCTCAGACTCTGGAAGCCTTTGACTGCCCACATCACACTCCTTGGTACCACCCCACCCCACAGCAGCAGAGCCAGGGGCCTCCGGCTCCCCCTCTCCAGCCCTAAGGGCAGCCAGCAGGTCGTCCAGCATCACCGAGTGGACCACATCACCCTGAAATCCGGAGAGGCAAATAAATGGTGTGTCTGAAAAAAGCCACAGAGCTGGATGCAAGCTGCTGTGCGCTAACAGCCCCCGGGCTTTGGGGAGCTCCACTCGGGACCCACAGACGGGTTCACGCCTGGCGCGTCCACTCCAGTGACCTGTGGCCACATCCAAAAGGTGGGGATAGGCTTTCTTTTGGCCTCAAGATCAAAATCTAGGGAGAACACCTCTCCAACAAATAATGAAGCAGCTGGAAGGCGGAGAATGATGTGGCTTGGCCACAGAGAGAGAAAAAAGGTGGCAAAAGCCAGAGCATGTTTCTAGCCGGGTGGCTGTGGGCGGTGATGCCGGAGCAGTCCTCCAGCAGAGTCAGAGGCTGTGGCAGTCCTTGCTGTCTCCCTCCGCTAGGAAGAGCAAGAGACCCCATCAAATGGGTCAGATGGGGCAGCATTCAAAGGGACACACAGCACCACCACCACCATCATTCACACACATACACACACACACACAGAGGCACCACCACCACACACACTCCCCAGGTGCCACCACCACCAACACACACACCCTGGCACCACTACCATGATCACACACAAACACACCCTGACACCACTACCACCACCACACAGACACACACACATACACACATCAGCATTACCACCACCATCACACGCACACACACCATGGCACCACCACCACACACACACACATCAGCACCACCACCACCATCACACACACATACACCATGGCACCACCACCACCACCACACACACACATCAGCACCACCACCACAGACACACACACGCACACACACACATCAGCACTACCACCACCATCACACGCACACACACCATGGCACCACCACCACCAACACACACATCAGCACCACCACCACCA